CCAACCTGCCTTCCCAAGAGTCTCCTCCAAGCTTCCTTCCCCCCCCGGTCTATATCCCTTCCCTCCCTTCCTCCAAAAACCTCACTATTGGCCGCATCACCGCATCTTCAGTGCAGGTGCTGGCGTCTAGGTGCAGATGGTGGCTCCCCGGGACTCTCAACACGGTCAACCGGGGGCCCAAAGCGGCTTCGCGCAATATTTCCTCCTCGGGGGAGGCCGCCGGCCAACCCTCTTCTCCCCGAAGCAACAACACCGGGCATCGACTTGCCATCAAAAACGCGCGGGACTGCTCTTCCGTCAAGTAAATGTGCGCCGAGGCGGCCAAGCGTTGGTCGTGGCGAAAGCGGACCCCTCCCTCCCCCCCGCCCTCCCCCGGCACCAGGTCCGCCGCATGAGGCGTGGCGGCAGGCCCCGCTCCCCGACCGATCAAAATCGCCGCCGAAGAGGCCTCCAAGGTCTGTGCTCCGGGTAGCTTGCCAACCGTGTTCAGACGGGCCTGGATGGCCTCCTCCACGGACGCGTATACCTTGTTGCCCACCCCTATTTCCCCTTTCTTCCCTTCCGCCCTCTCCTCCGACTTGCGCATGACCTCCACCAGGGTGGCACGTTGCCTGATCGCTTCTCTCAAGGTGGTGGGGGCGGAGTCGGCGGGTTTGGAGATGATTCCTAAGGTTTCTACGCAGACGATCCGCGTGACCAGCTCCGGGTATGTCCCGGCCAAGGCAAGGCCAATGCCCGCCCCGAGAGAATGGCCGAGGATTTGAAATTTCTGAGGGTTGAAGGGAGGGATCGAAGGGGGGGAAAGTGGTCAGGAACCAGCGGTCGACCGGGAAAAAGCTGGGCAAACAGGCACGGGGGGAACAAGGAGAAGGGGAAGGTCTGTGAGGGAGGAAGGAGGAGGCGCCGCGGACTGGAGGGAAGGACCCCCAAGAGGCGAAAAAGACAAGAGAGAAATGGAGGAAAAAGAAGCGAGGGTTACCTTCCACTTGAGCGCCTTCGCCAGCGCCCACGCATAATAGACGTAGTCGGTGAAGGCATAGACGGCATCGGGGGACCGGTGCGAAGACCTGCCGTGCCCGGGGAAGTCAATGCAGACGACCCGGAAACCGGCGGCGGCGACGTAAGGGGCCAGTCGGTCGAATGTGTTGGCGTTGTCAAGCCATCCGTGCAGGGCGAGGACAGGGGGGCCCGAGGCCGGGCCCCACACTTTGGCGGCGACAGTGAGGCCATCAGGGAGGGCGAGGAGCTCCTCCTCGTACGGGAGGGGGGATGAAGGAGTTGGAAGGGAGGAAGGAGAGAGGGAGGTGGTGGCCTCCAAGCAGGTTGATGGGTAGGAGGAGGAAGGAATTGACAGAATGCCGCGTCGAAATGAAGGCGCTCGTGGGATGGAAGAGCGTAAATGGGATGATGTCGTCGTCGAGAGGGGAGCTGGAGGTCGAAGAGCATGAAACGCATATGTCGTACTTGGGAGGTTGGTTAAAAAGGTGATGGAGGCGATCAAAGGGAAGAGGGAGACAGGAAAGTAGCACGCCATGGGAGAGGAGGTCGGGCTGCTAGAGTGGCACATTGGATGGTAAGGGGGTGAAATTTACGGCCCGAATCGACCATCAATAGAATTAAGGGGTGGAATCCTGTGCCCGAGTCATGAATATCAGACAAACTTACCGAAATCTACGTTCGGATTCGGTAATATGGCGCTTGCGCTGATGAGGGCTCCAGTTTTGAAAAAAGGGGAAATGCAACCGCGGCTGTCAAGAAAAGCCGCCTGCGTCCAATTCGAAGGACTTTAACAAACGATTCTCTGACCAAAATGCCGCGCAGGCAAGTGGGAGTCAGTTTTCTCGCGTGAAAGTCGAAGAAGATGGAGATAGCTGTGTAGGGACGTGCATGGAAATGGAAACTGTTGGTACTAATTACAGCAAAGTGTTAGACCCAAAGTCGATCGTGCTTTCACGCTGCAGCGAGCGTCATCAGGCGACGACCTCTAAGTGGAACAAAGCTGCTCAAATTTCGAGAATTTCCCATCACAACGTTTGCATCACCCTGATACATGCTTTGTTGTCATTGCTACAATGAGACAGGTTTGTCCCCGCGCTGTGTTTTCATCCTTTGGTCGCACCTTTCCTACCTCCTGCCCGGGCATTTCCACCGCCCCCGTGCCTACTCTGCTGCAACTTTATCCACTGAGCGCGCGGCCGCGGCCATGGGAAACGAGCTCACCAAAAAGTATGACAAAGAAAAAATTCACACGGCGTCTGGTGGACATGAATGCCTCTGGAAGATCTATCGGGCGACTGTTAAAAGCACGGGGGAACCGGTAAGTGCAGTGTTCCAGGCTGTAGTGAGGTTTCATGTTTTCCACGTCTCCTCCCTTCAATTATGACCATTGTACAATAATTTTGGCTAATTTCTCTCGGACAGGCCTCTGTTTTTGTTCTCGACCTGGATGACTTGAAAAGCCTTCCGAAAAACGAACGGGAGCAGTTGCTGGACATATTTCGCAAGGTACATAGAGGGAGAAGGGAGGCGGAAAGGGAAGGAAAAGGAGGTAGAAAAGGACATGGGAAACGATAATAAGAGTCGTGATGCCAACATGAGAGAGACGAGTACCAAGAAGAGGGAGGAAGGTGCCATGAAGAGAGAGGAGAGTGCCGAGATGAGGGAGGAGTCGAAAGGGGAACAAAATCGAGCTCCACATGTGGAGTACAACCTCCGTAAGATCGCGACCGAAGCCCTTTTCTCACCGTCGACCTTCCCTTTTCCCTCCCGCCTTGGCCCCTGCCACCCTCCCATGCCTTTCTCCCAGGATATACGTGCGCTCCGCGAGCTAAACCATCCGTACATCCTGAAAATTTACGACGTGCTGGAGGAGAACAAGAAATGCTTGGCCTTCGTGGCAGAGAGGGTCTCCTTCTCGCTGGCCAATGCTCTCCATCGGTATCAAAACCTGCCTGCCAGGGAACAACCGCTTCCTAAAGAGTTGGTGGAATTCAGGTAGGCAGGGAGGAGGACTGCGACCACGCGACGGACGTTTGGAACGAAAGCGGGAGGGAGGGAGGGAGGGAAGGAGG